GTGGCCAGAAATGCGAGCAGTACTGCCTTCCAGTAGTAGTCTTTATTCGTAACACGATCATGAGACATGCGAAACCAACAAAACAATTTTAATATGAGCAACGTTGCTATCGATCCGGTTTCAGGTACCTCACTCGTCTACCCTGAAAGGAAGGAGTAAAAGTTGGTAAGAACTTAAATGTTGCTTCGGTACAAAATTCTGATGACTGGTTCCCTTCATAGAACCCTTGCTTTCCGTGACGATTTTTCTGTTGCCCTATCGCTGTTTTCGTGTCATCAGCCAATAATGCCTTGTTGTGTCTTTCCTGAATCCGGTTCGACATCATCGTGGTCACTATTGTATATGGTGTCTTGTTTCTTCCACGATGTGGCACTCGTTTACCTAGTTTGGGAGAAAGAGCAATGAGTTATTTCATAGAGACTCGAATTCCGCATCGCTCGGTTTTGAGTCGAATGATCTGCTGACTGAGCAACCTCAGTGTAATTTCGTTGCGTTTTACACTAAAAATGTAGGGACATTGTTTCATACTCTAAAGCTACTCGAATAAGTACGCCAGAGTACAGTTGGGTTCCTTCTGGGAAGGTAGATATTAGCAACGGTAGCTGTTGTTCGTAAGTATAACGCGCCTGATACAGAGTTGGCGTCATTGACGACTACCGACGGCTCATTGATTTTGGCAGCAAATTCGGCAGAGAGAACAAAGCAAACATTCGGCGTGTACAACGGACGAATGTTGATTTGCACAACATACCTCTTGTTGACAGCTGTTTAACATTTTTGGCCAGCAGTTACTCATGCCTCAAAATTACTGCCATACATGCAAGCTGAAGGCCGATAGTATGCTTGGTCTCAAACCATACAAGACACAAACATGTATTTTGTGATCGAAATCATCTGGAAAGTCAGCTTCCACTAAATTTTCAGGTGTGCGACTAATTTTCGGGTGCAGTCACTCGATTTCTTGAGTTCATTTCAACTATATGTTGGCATTTTGAATATCTTGGAGGAGTCATGCGTTATTTGACTCACTCCGGCGTGCGAACAATCTATTTTGTTTACGCGTAGCATATGAGGGAAGCAGCTCTTATAGCGTCGTTCATCATGAGTGCCACATACCCTTTGTTTACAAAATGATGTGAGGTGCATCTGACGCGACAGGTGCTCAAATGACGCGGAACTGTGCCATGGTTAAAAATCCCTCGCTAAGGTAAGTGACGATGCAGTGAGCAGTAAACTGTTGATCTTGGAGCAGTCACGTGCCGTTTGATATGATCGTTGAGACAATAAAGTGAAAACAATAACTTAGAGGAAACTTCATTCTGAAAAGAGTCTGAGATTCAGGTTCACAAACAGAAAAGTGTTGACATAAGCACCATGTTTTTCTCCGCTACAAATATTCTGTTACCGGAAGGAGTGAGGAGTTGCGGTAAAACTTTGGCTGTTCCCTGCCAGATCGTGGGCTTCGAGCAGTTGCTGCAAATCATTGACTGGCAGATCAGATCAGACTGAATGGAACAGGTCAATAGCACGTGAAAATGATGCTGAAATTTTTTCAACCTTTAGTTAAGGTTTCATTACAGATCTTTAAAACTATTACAGTAGATAAAAAAGTACATATGATATGGTGTCATATGATCCCTGGGTAGTTTCGCAATCTTTGAAAGTTTGGAGATGAACCTACAAACATAACATTTTCGGATCCCAGTCCCATATGAATCCGATGTTATTCAATTATTCTCTACTTCATACGGCGTTGGCATGACTTCATACGAAAACTTATGAATACGTGCCATTTAGAAAACGAAAAAAACGCATGCAGGAAGATGTCTATTTTCATAAGGAAAATGAGGAAGCAGTTTACGGTTCCCGATGTCCTAAGTTTGTACTTAAAACCTTTAAGTTTTCCTAAGCCTAGAGATTTGACTTTGAAAGCGAAGCAACGGCTTTAGAAGCGACAGAATTCCAGTCGACCTGGATTCTTCTAGCTCTCTCTCTTCTACCAGAAGAAATGAACCATGCTAAAAGGCTGTTTTTCTTTCAAAGCCAGGAATAGCGACCAGATCGGCGTACTTTCGTCGTTTGAACTAGTTAGATCCTGTAATGCGACTGCTTTACGTCAATCTGCATTTCCACACCAGGCAAATTCCATGTTAGTCAAAAATTTTCGCTTTATTTCATACAAGCATTAAGGGCAGCAAAAGTTGATTGATTGCTGATATTGAAGCATGATATTTTAGAAATCGAAATGTGCATATACTCTTTAACAGGTAGACGAGCTTAGCTGCCTGAATGACGGAGATAAAGCGAAGTTGTTTAAAAAAAGGATTCATCTGTAATTTCATTCAAGCAGCAAAATATTCCGCCATGCTTTCATTTACTCACTGATTAACTCACTTACTCGATCATTAATTCATCAGCAGACAGCTGATTTATTGCCGTAGTTTTTCATAAAAACAAATACTCCGGTCTCTGCCTCACTTTATCAGCATGGAGGGTTGATTTTATTTTTTGGCAAGCTTAAATGTTTAGCCTCCTATGCACTGCATCGAAATTAATGCTGTAT